CACGCACGCACGCACGCACGCACGCACGCACGCACGCACGCACGCACGCACGTCACGCACGCACGCACGCACGCACGCACGCACGCACACTTCGACTCTCCTGTTTCATTCGGAGTTAACGAAGTTTTCTCTGGAAACAATGAGCCGTAACGCCGGCATCTATTCGGTCGATCAATTTTTATCAAGCTCGCGCTCGCCTGCATCAAGGCCGGATATACACGGCGGTGGCGTGCGGTAACTCATACATTATCCTGGACGATGGGAAAGGGTAAACCTACCGGGTTTTTTTTTATTGCTCGCGCCACCGCCGGTTTGCTTTCACTTTATCGCCCGTGAAATCCAGCCGTCCGCTTCGCCGGTGGACAATATTTCCAGAGTGTCACGGGAAAGAGTGTATACGTGCAAAAATTCAGCATGACGCTGCCGGAGTTGACTCTGTAATCGGACCGCGAACTGTTTTACGGAGGAAAAAAAAACATCGCTTCCGATGAAAATTGAGATTTATCCGCGCGTTTCCGGGGGCGTCCCGGGCGTTCCTGATGTTAAATCGCAATCATATAGCGATATATAGTGCCGATGGCATTAAGGTTTTCGAATGTCTTATTGTTAAAAAATTATTGTAGAAAAAAATCTTTCAATTCGGAGAAAACAATATTTAAATTATTCAAATGAAAGGGAACGCCGTCCGAGGGATTTTAGGATTATTTCTATTTCTAAAGAAATTTTTCAAGAGACCCTGATTTCAAGCTTTTCTCTTTGAGCTTTTCTCGCGAATTAAAAACTTTATTTTCAAATCTCAGATAACCCTTTCTGTCAATGTCTCTATAATTTTTTTAAAAAGATTGTACGAAAAGAACAGTTTTACCGAAGTATCTAAAAATCTGACCAAATATAGACTTAAAAATGATTTTCGAGCTATCAAAATATTGACGCTCAAAACATTGACTCCTATAATATATAAAAAAATTTAGTAATATAATCGTGTTAAACCATCTTAGGTAATTACTTGAATAATAAGAAAATTATATCTGTATCAAATTTTTAAATATTTCAGTAAAATCGTTCTTTTCATGTATATAAAGATGCATGATTAAAATTATATAAACAAACGACATTAAACTCGTGCTATATATTTATAAATATGGTTATGCTGCAAAAGCTTTTTATATTAGATAACAAAATTATTTTCAGATCTGTATATGCAGCCGAATTTTTAAATTCAGCAGAAATAGTCGTTTGTTTATATAATTTTTTCCGTACAGAAACTAAAACGATATTAATTTATTTTTCTCTTTTCCGTTTTCTCACGCAAATAGAGAATATATAAAAAATATCAGCGCGTTGAAAATACAAGACCGAGAGAAACTTCCGTGAATCGAAAGAACAATTTTGCTGTGTAGGATCTAAAAATTTGGCCAGATACTAAAAAATAATTTTGTTGGGCCATCAAAATTATTATGTAGGACGTTTAAACATGACATATTAACACCGCATAATCTTTTTATATTCTAACAACTAATTTGAATGTCTTACTATAATTATTTTGGTGGTCCAACGAAATAATTTTTATAGACAATTATAATGGATTACATGAGCCAAAGCTGGATGACAATGGCAGATATATGTCTTAAACAAACCATAGTTTTTACAAAAACTATTATTCTAATTATCATGCAGACATTTTCGACCTTTAATATGTGGAGAAGAGGGATCAAATCAAAAGTAATATATCTCAGGAAGTTATCAAAGATGTGAGATGGGAATGAGAATAAAGAGAAGGATTGATAAAACAACGGGATTAAAAAATTAACAGAGAGGGAGGGAATTAAGGTTCGGTAGTATCCGAGAGCGATATCCATATCACTTTGCTTATTAAGACCTCTCGATTGCCGATTTCTTTTATGTGCGCCAATCTCGGAAACCAATCTTCTTGACTGAAATGAAGATTCGTTCGTTCAGGAATCCTCAAAGATATTATTTTTCAGATTTCTACATTCGTGATATTCGCAATCTTCTAAATTTCATACGTGGATACATTTTCAATTCGTATTCGGTGATTCTTCCGCAGGGAGCCTGGAAATCGGTCCACACGCCAGCACGGCTCGGCGCATCATCGTCGTCCTCAGCCCCGCCTCCCTGGAGAACATCTGGACGGACGCGAGCGTCGGCGCGGTGCTGAAGCAGCTGTCGTCGTTGCCGATACGGACGATCGTCGTCACGCTGAAGAGACTGCCCAGCACGACGGCGACGATCGCGAAGCGATCGCGGCGGGATCGCCGCGACGCCGACAACATCTCCTTCGACCGGCTGACGATCCTGTTCTGGCAAGATGGCGGCGGCGGCGGCGGCGGCGGCGGCGGCGGCAATGGCGGCGGCGGCGGCGGCGGCAACGGCACCGCCACCGGAAGCGGCGGTCGCAAATTCTGGTAACAAACTCAGACTGGCGATGCCGGCGATGCGGCCAATGGCGTCGGAGACCGGCTGCCAGTCGGTCGCGATGATAGTGCAGGCCAACGGCAAGTGCGGACAGCAAAGGCGCGCTCGCGCGAGAGCCTGGAGGTCCTCGTCTAGAGCACCCCCGCGTCACGGAGATTGTCCCGGCCCCTGGGGAAGAGGGGGATGGAGGGGGGAAGGGGGGGGTTCCCCGCGGGAGAAACGTCCCCCGTCCCCCGATCTCCACCCTGATCCTATACCAATTGCCAATCTTCGAATCTCGCGGCGAGATTCCCGAATTCCGTATCCTTGCTGCTCCTGATCCGAGGATCCCGCGAGAGAAGGCTTTTCGATATCGATCACAATCGGTGGAATTGTGTGAGGAAGGGCAACCTGGGCTTCTCGACGATTGGAATTTTTCGCGACAGTAGTATCGGAAGTATAGGATCTCCGACTCGGATCGAGACTCTTTCGTTCGCCGATACCGATATCTTCAAAGGAGAGCTAGACGATCGCGAGACGATCCAAGAGACCTCGAGGCCTCTTATTTAGGACTTTCATTCCGATTCGAAACTCCCGAGGAAGATACGGATATCGTTGATAAGGATAAAAAGAAAAAAAAAAACAGATCAAGAGACTCTTTTTTTCCATTTCGATCGCGATTCGAAGCGAAGTTCGAGATTGGAAGGCACGATCTTGTTCGATCTAAAAGACTCAAATTATAACGTATAAAAAATAGGAAGAAGAGGCACGTCGCGATTTTGTGACGTCATCATGTTGCAATCGACTTTCTCGTGAATCGCGTCGAGATTGAAAAGCATATTCGATTTAATGTCGCGACGCAGAAAAAAAAAAGGGAGCTGTGTGCACGTCACGCAACTTGCAAAATGAAGTCAAACAGTTCCGAAATCTTTCTCTTCGATCCTCAGAAAGTTTGATTCCTTCCGTGCTTTCAGCTCGAAATTATGAATTTCTTCAACTTGAAAAATTTCTCAATCTTCGGTCGTGAGAAGAAGCTCGATCTTGAATTATAGGGAAAAAAGAATTTCGTTAAAATCGCAAATCTAACGTTCAGAAAATACGCGGTTTTTCGCGTGATCCACGTGGCAGATATGTTCGACTGCCTCTAGAAAATCTCGTAGCTAGCAGATTACGTAGAATGCAGTTAGTATAGTAAGAGGGAACGGGGGATCTATGGAGGTGCAAATGCTTTCAACTGCGAATGCATCGACGTGGCAGTGCGAAATCGGCGGCGCAAAGCGTGAATTTGCTACTCGTGATAAGTTCGCGGTTCGTGATAAGTTCGACCTTAAAGATGTAGGGAACTTGGTATAACTTTTTTTACCGTCGGACGAGCGATGAATTTTTTATAAGAGAGTAAAGATTGAGAAGTATGTTGGTACAGAGGAAGTGTGGAAGAGATGAAGGATTCCTTAGCGAATGTGCTGATCATGTGAAAGTGAGCTTAATTTTTTGTGAATGTATTTTTTTTCTTCTTTTTAATGTAATTTCTAATGTGATTTCTAATCGAAATTATGAAGTGATCGAAATTTTATATTTTACATGTATTTTTTCAAGTGAAGAAACTGCGAATTTTTTCTATCATTGATCAACGCGTTGTGTGAAAAGATTTTAAAAACGCCAAAAGGATATATATGTGTGTAGCCGAAGACTTTTTTAATGTTTATTTTTGCAAATTCCTTGTATTTTATATTCTTAAATTTTTTAATTTTAATTTCTTAATTTTTAATTCCGTGAAATTTTGAATCTTATTTCTTTACGAGAGAGAGAGAGAGAGAAGTCTAGATTTTTGAATCCTTGAGTTTCTCAAATTCTAGATTCTATTTTACAGAGGAGGGGGGGAAGGTAAAAATGGAACAGTTTATGGGATAAAACAGACTAAAAAATGAATTTCATTCGAACTTTCGAACAATTAAGTTTTACAAAATTCTAAATCAATATTGTCTCGCAAAAATTTTATACAAATTAAATTTCGATAAATTTAAAAAATTCCTGCATTTATATTCTCACATTCACTTTGTAACAAGCATTTTGAAGTTTCTTCGTGTAAAATTTTATCTGGTTTTTTTCCCAATAATGCAGATGATTTCTTATTTATGGTAGTTTTTGCTACTAATGTTTCCTTTCATTTCTACATTTTTATTTTTATTTCTACGAATTAAAACAAGAGATTCTTTTTTCGGATTCGTTTTTTTGTTTTAAATCTTTGTAAAATCCTTCGTAAAATCATAAAAACGTTTTCGTTATATAGATTATTTCAGGAAAAGATTCGTGAAATTAATACAAAAAATTCAGATGAAAAATCTATACTGTGTGAAAATTAAAAATTTTGAAATGTCCAACAGAGTCTAAGAATTAATCGGGATTTTTTTCTGTAAAATTTTCATGAATTTTTCACGCAAGAGTGCGATATTGCCAAATACGAACAAATTTAATTAAGTTTCTCGCGGCATTTAATTAGGAAATCAGAAGGTAAAATTGAAAATGCAGCATCGTTGTGTACACGATGTCATGCAAGTTTCTCGGTGTATAAATGATTTAAATATTTCCGAAAAGAATTCCTATCTACTTTTCACAATCGACGACCGAATTCGTTAGCTTAGCATTCCGAAGAGTAGAAAAAAGAGCGAAGAGATGAAATCGTGCAGTCTTCCTTCTTGTGAATGTGATGAAAACTTTATTATCGGCGTTCCATTTTTTCTTTTTAATGTGTCTTATCACTGTTCTTTGTACATATATATTGGGAATTTATATTTATTTAGTTAGTTACGTTATTTATACATATATCTTCGCTTTAGTAAACCAACCCTTTAACCGGTAAAATAATTTCTAAAGCTCCGTTTCGATGTGATTGAAGAATCCAATTCGAAAATATTCGAGGATCTACAAAAAAAAAAAGAAAAGAAAATTAAAAGCGCACATGCCGTGTTTAGGTGTTTGAGTGTTCAGTGTCTGGTGTAAAAATGTCTAATCGTTGAGATGTACAGAGCGTACCTTGTTGCATTTACTTATATATTTTATAACACATATAATGATATAATTTATATCGAATTGCACACGAATACTTGGTTAAAGGGTTACACAATCGCAGAATTGCGCTGCGATGCGTCGCCGTTTGTTTTGTAAAAATCTGACTTGTCCCGAGCGATAACGGCGGAAATTCTCCGTTAGCATTCGATATAAGTCGGATATAATTAACTGCCTCGATTATAAATAAGTGTTTTATATTGTTTTATATATAAGCGAATGTATAGAGGAATGCTCCTGGAGGCTGTCCTGGAGCTCCTCGAGCGCACAATCGGTGTCAGTAATCTTTGCTTGTCGCAATTCATCTCCCGGGAGTGAGACGGGGATAACTCGATTGATTTCCTGAATTCTCGAAATCCGAATTTCCCGGATCCTCGTATATCCGGATGTTCGAAGCGATATTTATATTGTATCCTTATTTTTTTGAATCTTTTTGAATCTTTTCTGAGTATTCAGTTCGTAAAATAAAAACCTTTGCGAGAGTCGAAGGCTTCTTGATAAAACAGATATTAGATTTAGATTTAAACTTGTGAACCGAGATTGCTATTTTATTATTAAAGCTCGTCGCTGAATTTATCAGATGAAAGATTCAAGGGAAATTATATGTTAAATGTATGAATAATTTAAAAAAGAGAATTGCAATATTCGATTATTTCGGACAATTTAAATTTTTAAATAACAATCGATTTGCAATATCAATTCGTGATTTAAAGTTAGGAACAATAAAAAAAAAAATCGAAAATACAATATATGCAGAAGTAATAAAAGAACACTTCTTCACTCAATTTTTTCTCAACTTTCAATTCGAATACAAAACAACAGTTTCAAGCTATTCGAATATATATATATATATATATATATATATATATATACCTTCACTTCAGAAAGATTCAAATTATTGGACATGAAATTTTGAGAGTGTCGAGATTGTGTCCGATCACCTAAGCACCAGAGAATTTATTTACGAACGCGGGCCCTCCCGTGAATTCGACCGACGATCTAACTCACCCTTTTCCGAACGAGTTAATTGTTTGTTTATCCGCAACGTTCCCTTCCTCTCACGGGAAGACTCACAAGCTCGTTATCTCCGTTATTATACGGAGATTTCTGCCTTCCGTGGGACGACGTATTGTAGTATTACCATGAAACTTATTTATCCTCGGTCAATCTGGGTCAATTTAGTTTATACCTCAGGAATCCGAATCGGGGGTATCCCATGGGAGCCCGTACGAAATCTGGGGGGGGAGGGGGAGGGGGAACTTTCGCGTAGGTGGTACCCACGGGAGCGACAACCAACAATAAAGATAAAGGAGTAAGTGTTATCTGTAGTGTTACTCGTGATTGTGTAACTTAGACGATCGAGCCGCGGCAGGGGGGGAGGGACCCGGGGGGGAGGGGGGAGGGAGGAGGGAGGGAAGGGAGGGAAGATGGCAAGGGAGGAGTAAGGGGGGGGCGAGGCTTTAATTTTTAACGGTTG